GTTCTTGGGGGCACATTATCCAGGACTTCCTGTCCATTTTCTCTGCTTCCTAGTTGGACACCAAGTCTCTAGTGCCGCACAGTCTTACCAGGAAGTTCTGCCCAAGCACATGGGGACAAGAGACTATGGGCTAAGTCCTCTAAAACCATAAACCAAATAATCCCTTCCTTTCTTGTCTCTGTCAGATTCTTGGTCAGAATGGTTAAAAAAAAAGTAACACACCCTTAGAGCCAATGACACACAGAATTCGGAGACGAGTGGCTGAGTAGCCCGCCTGAGTTCACATGGCTCTCCCAAGAGAGACCAGCTCCTAACGTTGAGTCCAGGGTCTTCCCCTGCCCCAAGATCCTAGGCAGGGGGCCAAGGAGACTGAAGCCCCGGGAGTAGGTATTGTTTGTTGACCCTGTGCAAGGCTCCTTACGACTGTTGTCTTTCGTGTGTTCCTTATCACAGCCCTGTGAGACTGCTGTTAAACTCTTTCTTGGATGAGACGCCATCTGATGTGACTTCCCCCCAAGAGTCCTAATTCAGTAAGTAGTAAAATTGGACAAGACTCAAACCAGGCTCTGACCAGGTCCAAAGCCGAGAATCACTCTACTTTTCTGTCAGCTCTACTTGGGGGACTGGCCTACTTGGCAGATTGGGTTGGGTAGCTTCGAGACGGAGTCACCAACCACCCCCAAAAGAAGAAAGAACCACAGAGGGAAGGCGTGTTTACTCCGGGCAGCTAGCTGTACTTCTGGACACCGGCCACTCCTGCACACCCCAGAGGAGGCCCATAAGGCTGCCCTGCCCTTGGACCCACTAAGGAAGTGCCAAGGCTGGTGTGCGCTAGAGCTTGGGCCCACAGGGGGACATGGCATCTGCAGTGGTGGCTTCCCACGTCCCTTTCGCTGCATGCAGAGTGACAGGGGACCTGACTATGGGTTCAACGAGGCCCGCCCCAGGGCCGGGCTTAGGGGTGAGGAGGATGCCAGTGCCAGATTGGCTGTGGGGGAAATCCTGAGTCATCACCACAGGGCTGAAACTGTAAACTCTGCAGCGGATCCATCGAGCTGGCCACCTCCTTTCTCGTCATCACCTTGGAAAGGACAGGGCGCAAGGAGAACCGGCTGTCTCAGAGGATGGAATATGGTCAAACCTTGTGAGTTTTGTTAGAATGGACACCAGAGGAACTTGGGAATATTTTTGTATTGCAAAAGTCAGTATAGAAAATTCAGCAAATAGAAAAAGAATTCTGGCAAGATGATCAGAGGATACAAATGCCAAGCCTGAGTTCTGTCCCTGGGACCCACATGGTGGACTGACAGACCTGACCACAACAAGTTATCTCTGACACCCACATGTGACGGGGCACATGTGTCCCCCCATACTTAATCAATCAATCAATTTTTTTTCCAAGACAGAATTTCTCTGTGTAGCCCTAGCTGTCCTGGAACTCACTCTATAGATCAGACTGGCCTCAAACTCAGAGATCCACCTGCCTCTGCTTTCCAGATGCTGGGATTAAAGGCGTGCACCACACTGCCTGGCTTAATTAATTAATTTGAAAGTAATTTTAAACAAGAAAAGATTGGCTGGAGTTTCCTGACACCCTGGCAACATTCTCACATCCCACCCTTTTCTCCTACTTCTTTTCCTTCTCTCCCACCCTCTCTTCCTTCCTTTTTTATTTTAAAAACTATTCTAAGGGGCTGGAGAGATGGCTCAGGGGTTAAGAGCACCATCTGCTCTTCCAGAGGACCCAGGTTCAGTTCCCAGCACCCACATGGCAGCTCACAACTGTCTGTAACTCTGTAACTCCAGTTCCGGGGGATCTGACACCCTCACACAGATATACATGCAGGCAAAACACCAGTCAATGCTCATAAAATTTAAAAAATCCATAGTGCCCACTCCTTAATTTTCTTTTCTTTTCTTTCTTTCTTTTTTTTTTTTTTTTTTTTTTTTTTTTTTTTTTTTTTTTTTTTTTTTTTTTTTTTTTTTGAGACAGGGTCTCATTGCAGCCCATGGTGGACTGGAACTCACTATGTAGCCTAGGGTGGCTTTGAACTTCTGACCCTCTGGCCTCTACCTCCGGAGTGCTGGGTTTACAACCGTGCACCACCACATCTGACTTCAGTGGTGCCAGGGAGTGAGCCCCGGGGCTTTGAGCACGATAAACAAACCACCACCTAAGCTGCCTCCCCAGCTCCCCACTTCAGAATCCTGCTGGTGACACACTCCATCGTGGCAGGGGAGAGAAAGTCCCCTTTTAAGAGCATTCACACTTGATAAAGTCTTTGAAAGCAGAACACTGAATCACACAGACCACTCTTGTTTTGAGGTGGGGTCCTGTGGGGTCCAGTTTGGCTTCTCAATCCCCTTATCTCAGAGGCCTCCTAACTGGTGGGATAATAGGCATTCGGCACCACCTATTTTGACAAGAATAAAATTACATGGACTCAGAGCTGGTCCAGAAAATCCAGGCAGCGCTTGGTTGCCGCAGATTAGGAGGGAAGCCTGTGGGTGGGGGAAGCACAATTAATGTGGGGTCGAGGCCACTGCCACCCACCCACCCAGAAGCATATCTACTTGCTTTCTCGATCCTACAGGACCTGGGATGCCAACGGAGCTCGTCCAGAAAACTGTCAGGAGACCCTGGCTGGGAAAGAATGTTTGGTTAAAAGCCGTGGGGGCTACGACGTCATCTGCTTGCTGTCCTTTTGAGAACCCTCCTGCGTCTGTGAGAAAACTGGAGAGGCAGCCTCAGGCTGTCCTGGCCACCATCGGCTCCATCCTCAGTGAGTCTGGGCCATTGACCATCCCAGGTGCTCTGAGGCTTGTTCACGACTTGTCAAAGCCTGCTAACTGGAGACCTGCTGCAAACAGGAAGGGTCCACCCTTGTTTATATTCCATTTACTCAAGAATTTCAAGCCAGCACCACCGGGTCTGGTGACCAGTGGCTGGCACTCTGGAGTCAGACTCACCTGGGGTGAGCTCCTCCCGACTCCTCTCCTACCTTTTCCAGCCCAGCTTCCTCATCTTCAGAACAGGGCTGTGGTGAGGAGTCTTTTGGAAGAAGAAGTATGAAGCACCACGCTTTGGTCAGCTTTCAGAAATCCTCGTTATCAGTAAAGTGGCACAAAAACTGTGCAAACTTCTGAAGACCCCACACGGAAAACATGTAGGTCAGAGCACTGAAGGGTGAGGGTGAACAGCGCTTCCGGGGCAGTGAGGTTCACGCTCAGCTCTGCAGCAGAGCGTCAAGGTTTGCTGGTATCCGGGCCTACCCTGACCAGAAGGGGCCTGGGCATGGGAACATTTTAAAGCCTACCCAGGTGACATGCTGTCACCAGGCTCAAGAGCGACCCTGTGGGGAAGGATTTGGAAATTTGATTTGTGAGGAAAGGGAAGGACGCTAACCAGTGTAGACCGGCTTATGCTGTCCACTGTCAACCCCCTGCTCCCCTGGTTCTCCCAGTGACTAAAGCTGCTTTCATCCAGTGTGAAAGGAAACAGATTTGCAAGGTGACACACAAGTATTACTGAAAGGAAGCCCCCAGACCAGGCTCACCGTGCTCCATGGAGCCCCAGCCCAGGCTCACTGTGCACATGGAGTCCCCAGTCCAGGCTCACCGTGCTCCATGGAGCCCCCAGCCCAGGCTCACTGTGTGCATGGAGCCCCAGCCCAGGCTCACTGTGCTCCATGGAGCCCCAGCCCAGGCTCACTGTGCTCCATGGAGCCCCCAGCCCAGGCTCACTGTGTGCATGGAGCACCCATCGCAGGCTCACTGTGCTCCATGGAGCATCCAGACCAGGATCATTGTGTGCATGGAGCCCCAGCGCAGGCTCACTGTGCTCCATGGAGCCCCCAGCCCAGGCTCACTGTGCTCCATGGAGCACCCAGACCAGGATCATTGTGTGCATGGAGCCCCAGCGCAGGCTCACTGTGCTCCATGGAGCCCCCAGCCCAGGCTCACTGTGCCCCATGGAGCCCCCAGCACCCACCATCTAATAGAAACACACTGTAAGCTACCAGGGGGAACCACACTGTAGAGCTGCTGCACTGAAAAAAAAAAGTGAAAAGAAACAAATAATTTTAAATGATGTATTTTATTTAGCCCAATTTATCCATAACATTACCATTTTAACATGTAAGATATACACACAAACATACATAAATTTCATTTTGAGTTTTTGAGTCAGGTCTCGCCATGTAGCTCGGGCTGGAGTTGAGCTTAGTAGCCCTGCCTGGCTTTGAACACCCGATCCTTCTACCTCAGATCCTATGTGCTACCATTGCAGACAATATAAAAATTAACAAGCTATTTTGCATTGCTTTTTTTCATACCAAATCTCCAGATTCTGGTCTGTGTTTTACACAGCCTATCTCAAGTGAGAATGGTGTCTGGTGGCTGGCCATACTGAACTAATAGAGTAGCTGAGCTGGTATACGGCTGGACAGATCATAAACGAGCTGGGGAGGACCCAGGCACAGGGACCCGAGGTTTCAGGGCAGCCAAGTGGCAGCAGGGACTAACCACTGGTGCCTGAGAACGTCCTGCTGCAGTAGCTCCGGGGGAGGCACTCACTCCAGGCTGAGCAGGTCAGAGGCAGCCTGCAAGCAAGAACAAAGCCTCCCAGAATAATGGCGACCCGCGGAGGAGACCCTGCCAGGGGGCACTGGGAGCGTGGCCTCACCTGAGACTAGAGGTCTTGCAAGTAGGGTCTACAAGTGTGAATTCCCCTCACCCGGGAGGTGGGCAGGTCATCCAGTTCTGGTTGGAAGAAAGCCTCGGGGACCCTGAGGCTGTTTTATGGTTCTTCGAGTCTCTCTCACACCAGATCCCTTCCTCTGCTCCCCACCACTCCCTCAGCCCATAAAGGGTAATGAAGCTGATGTTAAAATAGTTACATGAAACCCATTCATTTGAAAGGGCACCTGCTTTAAAGGCCAAATTTCCTGAGCCCAGGTTTATACATTAAGCTACAGAAAGCCCTAATTAATTCAGACCCCACTCACTCTGTATTTGGGAGAAATTCTGCCTCAGGCTGGTCTGGAGCCTTCCCTTTTACACTATCTATGAAGAAACGGTTTGCTAAGCAAATAAATAGTTCAGGCAGGATCACAGAGGAAGGGCTGGCTCCCTTCACTGTTTTCTAGAACTTTAAAAAGTCGCTGGAGCAGTCCTATTCCCAGAAAGTTAATGAGGTCATTACAGCTGGTCCCTATCTTTAAACATTTCTGTTTCCCAACCTGGCTGTGAGCTGATGTGGCCCTTGGAGGGAGTCCCAGAGTGCTCAGATTCCAGCAAGAGACTGAACATATTACCCAGCACCCAGTAGGTGTTCAGCGTGTGCTGAATGAATGGAGGTAGGCAAGACAAATAAGCTCATATTTCAGGTGAGAAAACTACGGCTCAGAGAGGTTATTTATAAAGTACCCTGTCAATGCCAAGGAGCTCAGGGCATCCCTCGAGCTGGACCAGCCAGGCAGCCAGTAAATGATGAGTCCGGAGTTTGAGGCCGTGCTTGGTGCAGGGGACCCTTCCACTCCGTTATTTTATTATAGTGTTAACCCAGCAACAATAAATTGGCTGAGTTCTTAAGGAGCAACACCAAACCCCGATTGTTCTTTTATAGCTAGCCTTTCCGCTGGGTACTGGAATCGGCCCAGTTCCACTCCTTGAAGTGCCTGACTGTGACCCCGCCTCCAGCCACGTGTAGACTGTGGGACGTCAGGGACAGTACAGGTCAGTTTTCTCCTTGCGGGAGAAGAGCTGGAAGAAAGGAAGGATCTGGACCCGGTTCCTCCGGGGTCCTGGTTCCCCGGGAAGGCTGGTTTCTGTTCTCCAGACCTTCGCTGGCCCCAGATCGGGGTGTGTAGGGGGGCGGCTTTTGTCGGCTTTCCTTTTCCCCGATGAGGGGCGGGTGGAAGAGAAGGGGAAGACAGCCTGCGCGCTCTCTCTGCCCTTTGTTCTGTAGGCTCTGCCCGCCTGGAACACCGCACAGGGAAAATTCCCTGACCGTGAGATCTGCAGGCTGCAGGGTCCCCGGGGAGGGCCGGGCCTCGGGCTCTTTGGAGTTGCAGCTGGAAAGAGGGGTTGGATTTCAAGGAGCGGGGTTGGGGGAAGGCAGCCTGCCTTCCCGGCGGTGAAGGAGCTGGCCCTGGGAGCCAGCGGTGCCGACAGCTTCCTGTCGAGAGCTGGCGGCCCACGTGACCGCTCCCCACTCAGTGGATTAGGGGGTGAAAGGCCCAAGGGGGGAGGGGGAGCGGGAGGGGCGCCCAGGCGCTATCTGCGCTCGTCTGGGGGAGTGTGCTTGCGGGGCAGAGCACCAAATCCGCTTTTGCTAAATGAATTCGGCTGGCTCCTTGTCACACGGTCCAGCGAGCTGCCTCTGCCTAAAGAGGGAAGGAGGCGAGTCTGGGCACTGGCTGGGGCTACGGGCTGCTAGTTTAGAGTCCCCTCCTCCCAACCTGGCCACACACATCCCCACAGTGCCTGTCAGGGAGGAAATGCAATAGTCACAGACCTGCTGGTGTTGAGGAGATGGAATCCGGCTGCGACACAGGGAAAGCTGTGTGATTGGCTTGAAGGGTTGGCTTCTGTAGCTCTGACCTCCTGACCTCCCGACCTCTCTGACCCCCCACCCCCTACTCTCCTCTAGGCCAAGTGCAGCCACCCTGACAAGGACATCAGGCCTGATCTTAGAGCCCTGGTCTGTGCAAGCAGTTATTGAGCACCTACTGTGTGCAGAGCTGGGCATGGAAATAAGTTGGATACTGATCTACCTGAAGGAGACTTGGGGTGCACTTGGAGCGTGGCAGGGTGCCCCAGGGTGCAGGCTTGGGGTTCAGAGAGAAAATAAGGGTCCACTGTAGTTGATAGCTTGGGGTGACAATCGTAGATTCAGCCTGAATGACTGTGTTTCTCTTCCTGTCATGTTCCCAGAGCAAAGAGGTGGGCTAGAACCCCACAGATCTGTGGGAGGAGGGCACAGGCTATGTGAAGGTTTCTGAGTCAAATGCCAAGGAGGACAGATAGCCCTAGGCAAAAGTTAATTCACCTTACCCTCCAACACCTGAGCCACTGGCCATGCGTTAAAGGCTGCCAGGGCTGGAGCAGCGGCCCCTCTCCTTAGAGATCTCAGGCTCCATTGGCCCTGTGGGTGATTTTTGTTCCAGGTTCCATCTCTATTGTTTATATAGTTCAGAGTTCAGGGAAGTCAGAAAAACGTGCTATCCTTTCCACCCAAGGTGACAGGAAAAACAGCTGGGGATGGGGGGGGGAGGGGCGATGGGCGAAGGTGGGATCTTGTCGGTCACCACTTCGTTTCCATGGGCATCTGCCCCATAGAGATCTCTCAGAGAGATCCTGATTCTCTGCAGAAGCCAGGATTGTGGAGTTCTAACTGGGTGAAGTGTCTTTAGGAGTTGGATCGTCCCTGAGGGGAGCCCTTCAGACCTGGGAGTCTTCTTAAAAATCAGCCAGCAGCTCCCCCTGTCTGAGGACTCTGAGGAGATAAGGGCAGCAGCAGAGCAGGCTGGGAAACAGTGACTAGGACTGCGGGCATCCTGCCACTCATCACCTTGAGGGCTGGGAACCCCCCACCCAACTCCACCCCACCCCCACTTTGGATCAGCCTATTCTGCCTTTGGGTTTTCTCTGCTGTAACGCCCCCCTACACACACACACACACACACACACACACAGGAGAGCTATCACTCACACTTGCTTCACTTAGGAACTGTCCAGGTGCCATGGCAGAGGTCTGGCTGAGGACTATTCTTCAAGATCTCCTCTTAAGAATTTGCTCAGTGCTGGGCATTGAGGTGCACACGTTCAATCTCAGCACTTGAGAGGCAGAGACAGAGGCAGGTAGATCTCAGTGAGTTTGAGGCTAGCCTGGTCTACATAGTGAATTCCAGGACAGCCAGGACTACATAGTGAAACCCTGTTTGGGGCAGGATGGAGACGAGGGGAGGAAATTTTCCCTTTGCATCTTGGAGTCTTCTCCACTCCCTGGCTGACGCTCCTACCCATCTACCAGCCAACAATAATAGGTCAAGTCGTTCGCTTCCCTAAGACTCAGTTTCCTGGTCTATAAAATGGGAAAGTAGCAGGTGAGTGGGGCTGCCTGCCAGTCTTGAGAGCTCCTACAAGCCTAAGACCAGAAGTGCCTATTTACGGACGTCTTGGTGCCTAGTGGAGACCCTCAGCCCCATTCTCCCGGGCCAGCCGGCGGACAGGAGTGGTCCCCTTGATAGTGACTGCTGCAGGTCACACACAGGGTGAGCACAGCACAATGGGGGAACCCCAGTGGGAAGAGGAACAACCAGACTGAATGGAACGAACCTCCTACCCCACCTCCCTGCCTTGACTAGTCCAAATAGTCCCAAGTGCTGAAAAATCCCCCAAATGTTTCTAAGCAGAGGATCTCCCAAAGGAGTGGTTCGGTATCTGGGGTTACAAAGACTTTGTTACTTCAGCAAAGCGCACTACAAGCCATTTACTGGTTTAATTTAATTATTTATGATAACACTTCAGAGTAAAAACTACACTTGTCAAAATAAAGGGGACTTTGTGCCGCAGTGACCCAGATTTTATTGTTGCATTGCCTAATGCCCCAAAACGTAGTAATCGGTACCAGATCTCCCTTCACCCGGGCAAAGGAGCGCCAAAGGAGAGGACTGGCACAGATTACCGCCTCCTGGGGGAATTATCTCAAACTATCCTAACAAAAGGGCACTTCAGTTCCGTCCTCCTATCTAGCTACATCTTCTTCTGCTCCCCACATGAGCTGGTTTCTACGCTCACTTGACCCTTAGCCATTTCCTGCGTGCTCTTGGGTCACTTCCTTCACTTGCACATGCAGACCCCTTTGGTAGCATGCTCTCTCCATGTCCTCTCCCAGACTAAGGAGCCCTAAGCCTGTTTGCAGGGCAGATGCTCGGATAATCTAAGAACCCGTTCGGGTGCCCGGGACAGTCTGAGGAACTCCCACTAAGCTTAAATGTCACCCTGCTCCAGAGCCACCCCACCGTCTCCACCTGGTTGGGCATGGCTTCCTCTGCAGTCCCCACAGCCCGTGGCTCCTCTCCCAACAGTGCTATCCAGTGTGTGCCTCCAACCTCTGTGTGCTCAACCTTACTCAGCCGTGCCGAGGGTCTGCCTGGGTCAGAGCGCAGTGAAGGGCAGCTGGGCGGGACCTCGAAGAGCAGAGTTTGCTACAGTTATGCAGACACCAACTCCTAACCTCACCCAGTGCCAAGTCCCATTCCTCCCATTGGCGCCCACGGAGCGCGTTCTTCCTTTAACAAAAATCATCTTTTTGGACAAAAGACCTTTGAGGATGAAGCCTTCCCAGTCACACTGTGTGACGGGCCACAGAGGGCTGAGAAAGCACAGTAAAATATAATGAGCTGGGATCTGACCTCCCTGTGCACAGCTAGGCGGCCAGGCCCGGCCTCGGGTGCTTTCTTTGTGCTAACGGCCCTCCCCAGCATCCCAAGGCTAACACGCTCTCTGACTACCCAGATGCCTCCCTCAGCCACTGCCCTCTACTCTACACAGTGGTGACAGAATGGTGGCAGCCTAGATGACCCACCGCCAAAAATAGTGATTAGCACCAAAGACAGAGGGTAGAAGATTCTGTACATCTATATATCTATGCAGGAGCGCGCACACACACACAGACACACAGACATACCATACACACACATACACACAGACACACACACACCATACACACACACATACACACATACACACACCACATACACACAGACACACACACACCATACACAGAGATACACACACACCACACACACACATACACCACATGCATACACACACTGCACACAAACACACACACACACACAAACAGACACACCATACACACACACACACCATATACAGAGATACACATACACACACCACTCATACACACACACATCACATGCATACACACACACTGCACACAGACATACAGACACCCACACCCACACCATACACACATACACACACAGACACACAAACACATCACACACACACACACACACACACAAACTGCCCACAAACACACACAGGCACACCATACACACATAGACACAGACACACATATATATGCACATACACACATACTGCACACAAACACACTCAGACAGGCACACCATACACACACACACACACACACACACACCACACATACACACACACTACACACATACACACGCACATAGACACAGACATATACACATAGACACACAGACATATACACACATATATACACACACAGACACACATACATACACACATGCATACACACACAAACAGTTATTTATCAGTAAGTGTACCAGAAAAAGAAAAAAGAGCTGGTCCCTGCCTATAAAGGGCTTATAAATTAATTGGAGAAACAGAGAGCTGTTATAATTTTGATCTTATTTTATCTAGTCCTCAACCAACCATCTATAATAAGAACAGTATCTCAGCTGGGTGGTGGTGGCACACACCTTTAATCCCAGCACTCACTCAGGAGGCAGAGAGACAGATGGATATCTGAGTTCGAGGCCAGCCTGGTCTACGGAGTGAGTTCCAGGACAGCCAGGACTGCATAGAGAAACCCTGTCTCATAACTAATTAATTAATCAATACTTTCTCATACTAGTCCCCAGTTTTGCTGTCCAAACTGAGTTTCACCAGGTGTGCCGGGGGCTCAGCCTGCTGTGCCCAGGTGGGTCTGCTTAGGAAGG